CCATTAGCGACTCATACTTGTTTCATCTGAAGTACCATTCCGCTGCAGTAGTTTAACTCCCGCATCGTGTACTGCGCCTCATCATCCCTCCAGGGATTTGACTGTAATATACTGATTTTCCAAGATCTGTCGAAGCGCCTTATGAATACCCATCCAAAAATATGCTAGATAGTCCTCCTGACTTAAATGCTTTCGTTTAAGTGGGCCTCCAGCAATTGAATTGTACTTGACATAATACTTCCGCCACTGAGTCAAGCTGTAGCAGGCTTGCGTCTTCATTTTTAAAGCATAAGCGTAAACATCTGCTGGACGATACTTCTGTAAGGCTCGCTCTGCATCAAAATGTTTTAGGAGATCTTTTCGCAGCTTCGTCCACTTTTTCTGCTCGAAAGAATCCATAGTTTGGATGACATTTTGAACATCAATTGAACAGTAATTAAGAACATATTCACATTTCTCTTTATCGGACGTAACACGACATTTGCTACAGAGAAGTTCGAAATGGTCCACAAATTGCTGGATTTCAGTATGCTTACCCCTAAACGTGTGAAGGTGCTTCCTTGCTTCCGCGAATCGGCATGTCAAGTGATGTGCGAAGTGGTGCACTGAAAGAAACCGGAGGTGGGGCAGACATGCACGGGGGCTCGGGCGTAGATGGCGGGGATGGTTTTGCTCTTTGTTTATAGTCAAAATCTGAATCGGGCATGGATTCTGGCTCATCCTTGCTTTCATTTGCTGATGAATAGATTATTTTTGAAGAAGTCTTGCCTTTTCCTTTGTTCTTTTTAAAGGATGCATGGCCTGAGCGTTTCTTGTCGGCATAAGTGTGGCCCGAAGGCCCTGCTGCGGTAGGATCTTTAAAAGCAGTGTATCCTGCCCCAAAAATTCCAGTAGATGCTGAATTGGGGAATGCTTTTTCGTACTCCCGGCGTTGTTCTTCGGTGAAAAATTCGTTCATTACGGTCATATGCTCTGGCGGTCGGTATATCGGTACTGGTTTCGTCGTGACTTGTGGTTCAAGAAAGAGGATTGTAGGAATATGGAGATATTTTTCCCCTCGCGGTGGGCTCCAATGATATTGAGTGGAAAATTAGTTTCCCTTGGGTTCCTGGAAATAGATGTTATTCGAGGAATTACCAAGTGTTCGGATTCTCCAAATGAAATTCTCTTGCTTAGAATTCGGCGGTGATTTCCAAGAAGGAAACGATGGTACGGTTCGGTCGGCAGCGGTACGTGAGGTCTTTCCTTAAGACCTATAAACGGGAAACAGCGGTACGGTTCGGTCGGCGGCTGTACGTGAGATCTTTCCTTAAGACCTATAAACGGGAAACGGCGGTACGGTTCAGTCGGCGGCTGTACGTGAGATCTTTCCTTAAGACCTATAAACGGGAAACGGCGGTACGGTTCGGTCAGCGGCTGTACGTGAGGTCTTTCCTTAAGACCTTTGAATGGGAAACGGCTGTACGGTTCGGTTGGCGGCTGTACGTGAGGTTTTACCTTAAAACCTATAGACGGAAACGGTGGCGGTAGCGGTTGCGGTTACGGTGCGGCTGAAAAGAAAGCGGTGGACTCGCTGAACTTTCCTTAGTAAACTTAAGAGCTCAAGAATAAGCACAAGTAAGCGAAGGAAATTAATATTGACTTTCAGAAAAAGTACAAAGTGGGGTGTTCAAGTGAACTACATGATAGAATCCGCTCTTCTTTTATACATCTCTTTCGTGACTCATTCTTTCTTCTGACTCATTTTTATGAGTCATTCTGACTCCATTCGTTTATGAGTTATTCTGACTCCATTCGTTTATGAGTCATTTTGACTCCATACGTTACGCTGCCCATTTTTCCCAACCGTTACTCGGAGCTCATGTCCCAATGACTCATCATGAGTCACGTTATTGGGAATCCGAATATTTCATTGAGCGGCGATGATTTTTCGATTCATGCACTTTATAACAAACAATTTTTAGGTGGAACAACGGTATACCCTACCGTGTACTTGTGGAACTTGGCTGCGTGCACTTCAACCCCAGCAAGACCTTGAGCTAGCTCTGGAGCTTAAGGTTTCTGTTTCTGGTCCCCCTGAAAGCTGAATCTAGTCTCGAGCGCTGAAATGATGTGCAAACCAAGATCTCGGACCTACTAACAGCATCGACACTATCAATCACGCCAAAACATGTGCGCATCCCTTATTCTTCTTTACTCCCCTCCTGAACCTGCCTGCACCTTAAATTCACAGCCCTTCATCGCATGCACAGCTGCAGGCTATTCACACCCAAAACTTGGCACTTGTCCGCTGCTAACCATCACTCAATAATTATTTTTCCGGCCCTCAAGCAAAACTCAGGCCTGCTTCGCAAGCCACAGGATCTCAAGCCCCTTTGCCTCCAGAGCCCTCTCGCGCCGCAGCCGAACTCTTAGCCCTCCCTATCCAAGGCTCGTGCTTATCAACGCCTCGGACACTGTGTTCTGATTTGCCGTGACCGGTTGCGAGTCACGCTCGTTCACATTACGGGTTCACCATAGTGGTGAAGCTCTTTTGCGACTCTCCCCCCGAGACTGAACACCCCACAGTCCTTATAAAAGGAAGTTATTCACGCCACAAGCACTGTAGATATGGATAGGCAATGGTTTTCGTGTGTCGCTTTCGTGCATTCGACTGTTTGATGTCTAAATCTATATCCTGCTGTAGGTTACACAGGTATAATATTTTTGGTAGACTAGCAAAGAATAAGCATGGTTTAGACTCTTTCGGCCGTGCTTCAGTTCAAGATAATGTGCTTCATATTTCATATGGCATATCGGGCAACACAGATGAAGCCTGAGGAGAATATGCCGACGTGGAGAAGATTCAACACCCGACTTTGTCCTCAAATTCACGCTTCCGCCACATACCAATGGGTCGGATGGCCACACGAAAACCTGGAAAACCGGGTTAAGAAGCATAGCTGCCAATTTAGAAGTGGGCACCCTAAGAGGACGCCCGCTTGTCAACCGTGTGGTAACCTGTGTTTGTGGATCAGTTCCAGAATCAATTGATGAGTACTCGGATGAACATTACCAACATTACATTGTTGATTTGTAGGAGACGGAGGTCGCCCTTTGATACCATCATATAGGCGAGAATTTCCACTTGGTTTGTACCCATGCGGGGGGTGTACCATCCGTCAGCTGCACCAGCACGTTAGAAACACGGCCGCTCACCAAGGATGGACCCTCTTCCATGACCCGTCAGCTTTTGTACTAAAGGGTAAGGAATACTCGCGCTTTGGCTCTCCGAGATAAGGTCCAGGGGATTTATCATTGGTACATGCAAGCAGTCCATATGATGCATTCCAACTTGCATGTCAAGTTTGGAGGTCTTCCAATGTGCCGGTGATACGACTGGTATTAGCCCAGCCGTGAAATCTCGCATTTTTGCGATTTCTTGTCAAATACAAGAAGTCCTCTGCCTGGTGGCATACCAATTAGAGTCAGAGCGAGCTCTGCACTGCTAACTGCGTAGCAAGGACGCAAGAGAACCGTATAGGCATTAAGGTTATACTACGACTTGGTCCTTCAAATATCGAGGATCAGTATAGTAAGCTTAAGGATGCCTCGAAGTTCGTCAGATTCAGTCCATAACTCATATCTGAGGGCGGATTGCACTGCAAAAGCTAGTTACCATACCCAGGAGATTAAACACAAAAGCCTAAGACTACTAGTTGGAACACAGTATACCAGACGCAGAGACAGAACCAGTCCGAGGACTGCTATTGAGCCTATCCTGGACAGAACTGGCACGAACGTGGACTAGACTGCAGGACCAGGGACAGTCCGAGGACACCCAGTAGACCTACATTAGGGCAAAGCATCGCCCAAGGACCACTATGTCTCTCACAAAGTACGAGTAGATACTGGTCCGAGGACTGAGGATCAGTCCGAGGGCAACCCCAGACTTGAAGCGACAGCACGGCTGAACTATTTATAGTTCAAGGACTGGTGCGCCGGGCCAATACCAATACTCGGAAGAAACCGAGCTGAGCCTAGACCATCATAGAGCCCATGTGATGTGCGCGTCGCGTCCGAGGACCCTAACAAGTACAATGAAAGCCCTAAACAGGCAATGGGTGAATACTTCAGCTCTGACACAGCTAAAGTGACTTCACGGAGTGGATACCAAAGGCCGAACCGTCTCTGTCAGCCATGATAATGACATAGCATGAGCTATTTACAGCCATGCCGAGGCAGAGCAAGCACGAGAGCGCGGACGGCAAAGCACGGCTGTCCGAGGACTCGCTAAATATACACCAAAAGAGGTGCCAGGCACCAGTTGTCTGCAGCCGGACCTCCCCAAAATAGAGCGGCATCGCCGCATTTTCCTCTCTCAGTTTCAAATTACTCTTTTCATTTTCCAATTACTCTTTTTCATTTTCAATTTCTCTGTTCCTGTCACATATCTAGTTGCCTGATCATTGTCCCCTCAAACTGCAGACAGTTGTGCAGCGAGTATTGTCCTACTAGCGCATACAGTTGCCTAGTCATTGTCCCCTTGCTTGCAGACGGTTGTGCATCGAGTATTGTCCTATCAAGCATACAGTTGCCTGATCATTGTCCCCTCGAACTGCAGATGGCTGTGCAGCGAGTATTGTCAAGCCGAGCCCATACAGTTGGTGTCCTCGGACTCATTTACACCCTTTAAAACCATAGCGCGCAATCCAGGATTTTTCCGACACGTCAACTGTTGAACTGATGAATTGGAGGATGTCGACTTTGATCGGTATACATATGTTGCTCCACGAATATCTTTCGGCAATGCTGGCCTTGAACTCTTCCGGAGGCTGTTTGTACCTTGTGGACTTAGTGCATTTTCCGTGCGCTGGCATATTCATCTGTGTTGCTGGAGTCATCGGATTCACTCTAAAGTGCATCATGGACCTCTTGGCTCAGTGGTAGAGCATCTTTCGTGCGCTGGCATATTCATCTGTGTTGCTGGACTACTCGGATTCACTCTAAAGTGCATCATCGACCTCTTGGCTCAGTGGTAGAGCATCTGATTCCAGTATTGCAACGGTTTCCAGAAGGTCGTCCGTTCGATCCGGGCAGAGGTCACTCTTTTGCACTCCATCTCTTTTAATTGCCTTTTTGAGGCGCGAGGACGAGTTTCCCAATCGGGTCGTACCATTACAAATCCCATCAGCGCACCCTATTTGCAGCGCTACCCCTTCACCACAATTGAACGTCAGTCGCGAGCCGTCGCTGACCTGCGGTCAGCTCCGGCTCGCTCCCTCCACCAAAATCTCTCACGGATGCCATCAAGTTCCGTCAAATATCGCTTAAGTACTGCTGCCGGCAGTAGAATCATCTTATCTAATCTTTCGCTAGCTTCCTCACCTTGACGCTTTTGTTTTCACAAAGTCGCCGACATTAATTACTTTGGAGACTTGGCCCTCCAGGGGTCAAGAGTCCCGAACGCGGGCTTCTAAATCATCCTGAGTGTTATCCTGAGGTGATCGTTCGCAACGTGAATCGTTTGAGTCAGATGTCCAGTCCCGCAATTATGGCGTCTCCCGTCTCAGGGAAAATGATAAGACATTAGACAGAGTTAGATCGTATTTACGCTGATACTATGTTCAATGGCAGCGAAGCAAGTGAATCGTCTGTGTGGGACTGAGCCCTCCGTCCGTCCGCAAGCTTGGAAAAAAAAGTAAAATTAACTTGTCTGATTCAAATGTTCCTTCCGTGCATTGAGAGGTCTGAGACCGACTCGGGTTTCATCAAGTCTCGCGCGAAACTGGACTGAGTGAGACCTCCGCCGGGACCTAATTTCACGTGTTTTGACTCTGGCCGACGGTACCTTCCATAAAGGTCCGAGATCGACTCAGATTTAATGCCGTCGAAGAGCGAGACAGAAGGCACTAGATAGAGTGAGACCTCGAGGGGCGCCTTGAAACAAAGAGCCAGAAACGTGGTTGAACATGGCCACGCATTGGTTCAGATACTACCTACGGTGCTAAATTAACGAGTTAGAAATTGGATGTGAAGCAAAGCAGGAAGAGGAAAGGCCTATTTCAACCGAGATCCGTTTGCGAAGCCCACGGCGCCCATCGAAGGAACGAGCGCATGTGTACACCCGCAAAGAGAAGTTGGGAAAGAAAATCCCCGGACAACACAAGCCGGCAGTGCAGCAGCAAGGTCATCGCTCCCCACCCTGGCTCTGCAAGCAGCGCGCAGGTTGGGGCGAGGGACGCCAAAAACAGTAAAACCTCGGGGAGCGTGCTCCCGTAATAGTGGTTAGACTAGAAAGAACAGATACTACACTTGATCTGAGCCGGACGGCCAGAGTGGTGAGGAATCTGGGACGCGCTGGGAGTATTTATATCAATGCCATGGCGCACGGACCAGGATAATGGAGTACATATATGTTTGCAGATGCATAGCTTAGAGTCATGTTTCGCAACCGAACGTCAGATGCCCCCGCTCCCCCCAAAGGTGAGGCATTAAGAGTGGATTCAGAATGAACCGGGATTGTGAAATGAATCGAATCTGAAGCGCGGTCCTCTGGAGCCGCCTGATTCGCTGACTCAAAAAGACGCATAAGCTGTGGGCACCCGTGCCGAGAAAAGTACGGATGAGAATACTTGATGTCGATGCATTCACACTGGCGTCGATTCGATGCCCGGCGTGTGAACCCGAGTCGCATGGTGCTGAGACCTTGCTCATTCATTCCGGCGAAATGTCTCACACAAGTCAGATTTTACTTGCCCTCCGCCACCACAGAGATCTCACTGGCAGGTAACATAGCGATTCAGACGCCTAGGACAGAGGCCTAGTTCGACGTGTGAACATGGTCGATATGTGTCCTAAGTTCAAAGATCCGGTTCGAGCAGAGAGGGCTTTCCGAGGCTTGAGGACTGTACATAATTCCATCGTGTAGTGAGCAGAGAATTTCTTCTTCAGAAAAGAGACATCTGGCAAGTGAATCGTCTGTTGGAAGCCGAAGATTCAAATTTCCGAGAGCCAGATCCAAACGACTCGGAATTCAAGGATGGATGATCCGTTCGGGGAGGCCTGAGCCTAGGTCTGCGAGGAATATATGAAAGCTGCTCGTATATTCTGAAGCACAGATTGCAAGGACGCGAGAGGAAATTCTGGGAGGTCTCAAGGCTGCAAGAATTTCGGCCGATGGAGGGTTCGAAGACGAGGCAAAGTCCGTTCAAGTCCGGATTGAATATTTACGGGGCTGACAAAGTCGGCTTCACACATACACTAATCGATCGCGTCTTCTTCGGCGCGTCCTTCCACCTCTCCTCCGCACCATGTTCACTGGCCTGGTGCGATATTCCGTACAGCCCTCCTCACCCACTCACCCTACCGCAGATCGAACACCTCGGCACCGTCTCCGCCGTCCAACTCGACGACGCCGGCTGCACCCTCACCATCTCCGACGCTGCGCCAATCCTGGGCGACTGCCACATCGGCGACTCGATCGCGATAAATGGCGCGTGCCTGACGGTGACGGCGTTCGACGCGCAGGAGCGCGGGGGGTGGTTCACGGTATGGCTCGCGAACGAGACGGTCGAGCGCACGGATCTCGGTGAGCACTTGTGATAATTAGCGAGCGAACACTACGACGGGTCTAGGCGAGCGCAAGGTGGGCGACCAGGTCAACCTCGAGCGGGCGATGGGCGCGCATGTGCGGTTCGGGGGCCACTTTGTGCAGGTGCGCGGCTGTCCCTCGCTGCGTCCCTCATCTGACAGCATGTGCAGGGGCACGTCGACACGACGGCGACGGTGGTGGAGCGTACGGCCGACGGGGACTCGATGCGGCTCACGTTCGAGTTCGCGGAGCCGACGGCGGCGCGGCCGTCGCTGCTCGCGTATCTGATCCCCAAGGGCTACGTGACGATCGACGGGGCGTCGCTGACGCTGACGAGGGTGGATGACGGGCAGCGGCGGTTCAGCGTGATGCTCGTCCAGCACACGCAGGAGAAGATTACGGTGGGGAAAAAGGCGGTGGGGGCCAAGGTGAATATCGAGGTGGACATGGTGGGCAAGTACGTGGAGAAAAGCGTGGTGGCGGCGTTGGGCGGCGGAGGAGATGCGGGCCTACGAGGGATGGTGGAGAAGATAGTGGAAGAGGTGCTTGCGAAGAAGGGATTAGCGCAGTGATTTGTGACTTGTACTTTTATTCTATTCTGCAATTTCATGGAATCTGGACCTGCTCGCAAGGCACGCAAACTGGCCTCTCCATGACCTCGCTAACCGCAGCCCAGGTCACCGTAAAAGTAACAGAGTCGTCTCCCCAGAGAAACTATGCACCACGTTCCCCGTCACCCTACAAGTACTCCCCCGCCCCGTCCCCCACTTTCCGCCCAAAGGCAAAGGTAAACAGCAGCGCGACACCCGGAAGCATCGCGCGCAAGCCCACCAGCGTCCTCTCCACCTCCGCCGTCTCCAGGACTGGCTCGGTCAAGAGTTCTGCAAGCGGGAGCAGCAGAGTAACCACCAGCCTCACACCTCGCTCGGGCTCGCCCTCCAAGCAGCCGTCGCCCTTCCCCAGAGCCCGTGCAGCGATAACAAGGGGAGTAACTCCCCGCGTAACACCTCAGGAGCCGCTCCGCAAACGCTCGTTGACAGAGTCCTACGCGTCGCGCCCCACCACTTCCTCGTCGGGCACACCCATCTCCGAGATCCTCGACCTCTCCGATGCCGATGACAGCCCTGCTTCGTCCCCGCGAATCACCGCCAAAAAATCAGGCCGTCTAAACCACGACTTTCCTCCGTCCCCGCCGCTGCCTCCAAACTCGTCCCTGCGCGCCCTGTCCCACCGCGCACGCGTCCCTTCCATCTCCTCCAACGCCTCCTCGTCCGCCGCATCCGGCTCCTTTTACCCCGCCGCGGCCGCTACCCCCGCCGCCAATCGATTCCCCTCCGTACGCGCGAGCCCCCCGACCAGCGCGCACCACTATTACCAGCCGTTCCCGCGCGATGACCCCGCCGCCGCAAAGTACGCCGCGCGCCCAAACGGCATGGCCAAGGTCGATCCCGCGACGATCCCGCTGCCGCCCCACTCCCCGCCCACGTCCGCCGTGTCCTTTTCCTCGCGCTCCTCGCTCTCGCCGTCCTCCACGTCCTACGTCACCGAGTCCGGGACCAGTCAGCTCAGCGCGCCGCGCGCGGGCAGTGCGGCCGACAGCAACATGCGCTCCGGCCTCGAGAACCTCATGAACTTTAGCGGGATGCTCCCGGAGGATGCCGCCGGCGGGGACTACTCGGACGACGACCTCGAGGAGCGCCCGAACAACCTCCGCGCGAGCACCGCCGAACGCAAGGTCCGCGCCGAGGCAAAGTCCGTGCGCAAGGTACGTCGCATGTAGCATCGCGTTTCCCCACACGCTCACCCACCCGCTCCCAGATCGCGGACCTCGAGATCACGAACCGCTCGCTGCTCGCGATCAACACGTCGCTCGAGCAGACAAAGCACCGCCAGGCCAAGGAGATCCGTGAACTGCGCCGCAAGCTGCGCGAGTCGCGCCTCATCCTCCCGCCGCGCGCGTTCCGCGCCTGTCAAGTCGTCCCTCGAGCACGACGACACGGCCGACGAGGACGACTGACCCCGAGGAGGAAGAGGAGGAGGAGGAGGAGCGGAGAAGGTGCGCGAGGAGCACGACGTCATGTACCGCCGCATCAAGGTCATCCTCGAAGGCCTCCTCGAGTCGGGCCAGCGCGCGCTCGAGACGACGCCGCAGGACTTTCCCGAACCCGTCAAGGTCGCCAAGGTCCTCAGCGCGTACGAGGTGCCGTACCTCAGCGACGACGACGAGCCGCGCGGCGCCCCGAGCAGCGCACAGGTCCCCGCGTCGCCGTCGCACGTCGCGGTGCCCGACAGCAGCGACGACGACAGCTTTAGATCCGAGGACGAGGTGGAGGCGATGACCCTCCCTCGCGACTCCCCCCCCCCCTCGCACCCGCCGTCCCCCCAGCCGCCCCCCATCGAGATATCCGAACCTGCATGATAGAGAGCTGCGCGCGTGTACAATAGATAGAATCGGAGAGTGATACCCATGCATCTCATTCATATCGCATACACCTATTTAACAGCATTCTAA